CTGATCGTTTAATATAATTAGACTGTCTGTGACAATGATTTAATGGGGTCTGGAGATTTCCGATTTCTACGTGCGACAGTCTGGGCGTTATTTATTTATTTGTTACGTTTGAAATAATTGTTATAATGATGATGTGTGAGCATATATTTATTTTTAAAGTTTTTTTTTTATTTATTTATTAAAGTTTCACTGGCATTATGCCATCTAAACTATTATTTTTTTCCTAAATATTCATTAGACCTTCCTCTAGTTATAAAATTCGACAAAATTCAAATTGTTATCAAATAATATTGTATTTGCTTAGTATTAATATAAGGTAATATAGCTATATCGTTTAATGTTGTAGTGCAACATCAATCGGATACGTCTAGTTCACGCCCCACAGATGTACGGTATGTATATGCTGCGAGGAGAAGAAATGAAATTGGTCGCTGGCCGGAGTGTCCAAGAAAAGTTGCTGTTCCACGTGACCACCGAATCCAGAGCCATTGAGTCGTTGGACAGCGGACTAGACTGGAGACGCACCCACCGTAACAAGTTCGGGCGCGGAGTGTCCTTCAGTGACGACGCTGACTACGCCAACTATTACGCCGACAACTCTCCAAGTGAAGGTATAAAAATAGTGTTTGTATATTTATCGACGAAATGCTACAAGTATGAACTCCCTCCCCTCAGAAATAAAACGCATCAAACCTACTCAAAAATCATTGTCTAAATATTTTTCGTTGTTACCGTCCATGATAAGTACCTATTACCTTTTACTATTTTTAAGACGTTATTCTTTTATGCAGAGTATGTAAGCACACATTTCCAAATTTGCTTTCAGCATATATAGTTTTGCATTCATAAATGTACTGCCTAGTAGACGTAATATTATTAAATTTAAAGGAAAGACCGTTTTCTTATTTACATCATATGCTTTCATTGATATTTTAAATATTAAAGCCGAGTTTACCTATAGCCATTACGTAAAATGTTATAATTTTGAAATAAATAAATCAATAAAAATTCTAATAGTTAAAAATAAGCAATTAAAGCTTGTGCTAGGTATGTTAAGACACTGCAGAATTATTTCTATGTATTCGAGAATTGATCAAATACAATACGATGTTATTTAAAATAATATACATTTGTGCCTTACTTTAGCAGGCTCGACGATGCTGATAAACTATGCTTAATAGAATTACGGGCGAAACAAAGTTGAAAATATGCATCGAGGTATGCAGGTCAAATAAAAAAACATAGAGATTGACGTATCAATTAAATTACTTAAAATTATGTAAAATATTTAAAACGACCAATAACGACAATGATTGTTGATCATTTTTTTAAAGTGTTTTAACTTAAAATTTCATATAATATAGTATAATATAATATTTCATATATATTATATACAATATAGCCTTATCGTAGAATGTAGATATACTTATTAAAAATATTATAAAATATTTTTTATGATTAAATCTTGATATTATTATAATAAAACAATATTGACCAAGGAATATACTTACGTCATGTTAGTCAATAATTTGATAATTTCTTTTCATTTTCGGTTCTCGCGATCGAATGCAGAAACACGAGTGATTATTGTATGCACCGTGCTGGTTAGTAAAACGTACGTGGTCCCGAGACACGTCGATGGGAACTCGTTGACTGTACCCCTCGGCCTCGCGGACACAACGGTGAGCGATAACAGCCGCGTGTACGTTAAGTACAACGATAATGAATTTTATCCACTGTACTTTGTGTACTACCGGAAAAGACCGGAACACATGACCAATAGCAAATACTTCCGCTCCAACACCCGCAGGGCTATGGGTCACTATGATCGAAGGACAATCGAAGAAAGGTACAACGACCACCTGGACGCCACGGGCTACTACGACGACGACGACACATTCGAACAAATGTGCAGCGACTTCAAAGATGCCATGGACAGCTACTACGAAGAACACGATGATTGAAGTAGGTACACAGCACAGTAGTAACGAACCCTTCGATAGCGACTACCTCCGTATGCTGACTACTTCGACCACTGATTGTTATCAATAAACAAATAAATAATTATTTTCATTTTTACCCAAACGGACACGAATAGCGTTGTCCGTATAAATATTTTGATTTAACATATAGGTACCTACTATACTACTTATACTTATATACATTGATTTTTTTCTACGTTTTTCGCCACTTATTCTTTTCGTCATAATGTTACTATAACTACTTACTTCACCCATTTTTGGACGAACGATTCTTGACACAATAATTATATTGCAGGTGTTCTTTTTTTATTTGTGATTGACATTTTAACGTTTGACTGTAGTGATTGTACACGAGTGTTTTTACTTATTATACATTTATACAAAAATTATACATCTATGCAAAATGAGAATTTTTTTATTTTATTTTTATGTTTTTGTATATTATATCGTATTAATGATTGCCACTCTTTGTAACTAATGGCTAACAAGTAACAAGTACTAACAACTACTGTGTCTTCTTAATATATATATATATATATACAGTCATACTGATGTTTATATGATGGTGTTGAAATCTTCGATCATATATTATCGTTATGTCCTTTTTCCTCATCTAAATAAACTGCTTTATCGGCTCGGACGACATCCATCGACCATCGGCCTCATTTGTATAACAGCACTTCGCCTGCGTAAGACGACGGCTGTGGACGCCTGTGGTCACTGATCATGCATGTTGATTGTTGAACTACCTATGTTGTATATAATATCCAGTATAATATCTTGGGTCTTTAAAATAAAATAAATATATTCTTTAAAATATTTCTTATAATATATTAATTGCGGTCTCCATTAATACTAAATTGTATTAATATAAATCAATAAGCTACATTGAATGTATGACAAGTCTGCAGTTAAATTATGGTGAGTTAATTATAATTTTATAGTTAAATGTTTATATTATACATAAATGTACTTGCATGCTTGTACAATGTACATAAGTATATGTATTAGAAAACGAAGTAGACTAGAGAGTGCACATAATATATATAATATACCTATATAATAATATAAATAATTAATCATAGCATAGGATACATTTGATACTACAATATATTGTATGACAAACACATTCTATTTTTTCATTACTACAATATACTTATTTGAGAATAAAAGGACAATTTTAAATTTTAATCTGATTTCTTTTTACAATTTGTATATTTTTAATTTTTTATAATATTAATAAAACATTAAAGATATTATGATTCGAACATGTGGTGCAGTGGCAAAACAAAAACAATTAAATTTATTTATTTTAACAATTATAATTAGAGTACCATTAATAAAATTAATATAATAGATGTCATATTTTTTCATTGGGTTTTCAGTCTCAATAAAACTATTTTTCAATGTTTAAATCTGATTATCCTTATTGATTTCTGCATTATATAATACATCATGTACATATATTATGAAGTATTATTTTAGACTACACATTTTGTGTAACAATAACTGTATTGTAGGTGTTCCTTTTACTTGTGATTGTCGTTTTAACTTTTGATTGTAATCGTGTTGTTTTACATTTATACACAATTATACAATGCACGGCGACCGTGCATTTCAAACAGGGACCCCTATGAGGCCACGTGGGGAGAAATTTTGGCAGATCAACTCAAAACTGATACCGATCTGCGCTCACAATTTTTTTAAGCCTTTCAAAACAAAGTACTCAAAAACAGCCCGCTATTACCAGATAAATAGGGCAGAGACACGGGAGAAATAATTTATAGTTTTTGTTAGCTACATATCCATAGTATTTTACATAGTACAGTACAATGGCGTATTTGACTTAGTTTTATGGGGGGGGGGGCACTAAAATTATTATACACAAGCGCTACAAGCTTTTACTTTACCCTATTGGTTTTACCATGAAGTGGTTTATTTTTATTTTTGTATCCAATAATGATAGAAATAATTCTTGGTGTCCAATTTCAAAGGAGATTTATGGTAGCAGATTTAATCTTACTTGTATTTTTCAAAATAACCTGGAAATATTTTTAATATTATATTCAATAAAATATAATAATTTCAATAAATATAAAATAATATAACAATAGCATGAAGCAAATTGCAAATTAAATAATAAAGTCTATGTTTCTTTTTTTCATATTAGGTAACTCTAATAACTTTACCTTAATATTGTCTGTTTTTATTAGATTTGGGCCCTTTCCAAAATAGCCTTATATGTCAGTTGTGAATTCATTGAAATTGCTTGTGGTAGGCTGTGAATTTATCTGCTCATCTTTTAATTTTGAAGGCTGTTGAACGTCTGAAGATTCTTCAGGTACTTTATTCAGCCACGATGACATATAATTTAGATCAGAACCGGTTCTTTTACTCATACTAGACACTAGTTCAAAACGTTTAATTTATTTAATATAAACCAACAATAAACGAGTAACATAGATTTTTATTGCATAAAATAATTTAAAATATTTATATTTTATATAGTAGTATTGTAAATATAATACATTTAATACGGGCGATTATTTAAATCGTTATGCGATTATCACGGTTTAAAATAGTATTATCATAAATCGAGGCGAGTATGTGGCTGTTTATGTGATAAGATTACTGTTCGATGACCAGCATATCTACAACCGCGGTTCCGATGCCACGGAGGTATATGAAAATATGAACAATATAAGACTTATAGAAAAACCGATTATTCTTCAAGTCATGGGGGGGGGAATCGTCCCCATAGCCCCCCCCTCAAATACGCCACTGGTACAGTATCTAACGAAATATATATTGTAAAGCTAGCATTCTAGACTACTCATTCTACGAGTGCAGGCATTGAATGGTGAGTAACATTTTTTTTTAGAAACACTCAACTAGAAAAGCGAATAATTATGTATAATATAATTCCGGAGTGTTCGATACGGAAGATATACCGTAGATACGTATTAAATATTTAATAATATTTCTTTTTGTACAAAGAATATATCTTACACTTACAGTATATAATAGGTACCTATATGGCTATATGCTATATATATTGTAAATATTACAATAAAAAAATAAGTAAAGGATATTATTATGATAATATGATTTAGTCAATATTGTATGTCTACATATACTCAGTCCAGCGAGAGAACGCGCTTGGTTTTGCTTATCCCTCCACGTCATCCCGCCTTCGAAACTGATTCACCTATGGTAGGGTGTCGCTCGGGGGAACCAGATTTGGTTTTTGGCGCGTTCTCTCGATAGACGACAGAGTATAGATATTATATATCTCTTTATAATAGAGGGTTTCTTTTTTGAAGCGTTCACAAAAATACTAAGTATACAAATAATTTAAACAAATAGTCTTAAAGTTTATTCAGTTTCATTTAAATTAACGACTTTTAAATACACCTTAAAATGTCTTAAATTATGAAAATCAAATATACTAATTTTAAGAATCCTGCATAAATGTACAAGGCAGCAACTGGAATAGAATTTTTTCCGCCAAAGTGTTTGTAGAATTTATGAATTTTTATATAAATACTTATTCTGCTTTACTAGAACGGCGTACCTTCGACGGTTCAATAAATTCGGTTCATCAATAGCGACGAAGATGTACTATATCGGTAGCACCTGTAGGACGTCCACCGATGTGTCGGAGTTTACCGAGCACGCTGCGGCCCGTATTTCGGAACGAGTTTCGCCGTTGAAGCTCCACCACATTTATGGCGCCTGTCCGCTGCTTAGCGAATTGAACAGCGATGCCTACAATGATGTGAAACAACTCGTAAAAAATACATTTCCCTACGTGAGTACCGCGACGGTTGATCAGCGACAGCGTATATAGCTATGTAGGTGTCAAGGTACCTTGATGTTACGTAGTTATTACGTTTATTTATTAAATAGAGGAACAAACACTTTATAACACTCTACTAAACCTGTACACGTATGTATGACACACCCATTCACCTCATACTGTATACCCCTTGGTTCTCCGCTAAAAAATAAATGTTTGATATTGACACTAATAGTGTAAAAAAAAAATAGTACTTACAGATAAAGTTCCCTAACATTTATTATTTACATTGAGTGCCCGGGTGACGGTGTTCCTAACCTTATAGGTGTGCTAAGTGGCTGCCAGGCAAAATAACTGCCATGACGGGCCTCAAATTTTTGAGCGGCATTTTTTTTTATCCTGCCATTATTATTTATAAACATTGTTGCATTCGTTTAAATAGAAAAATTAAATTGTTAAACCTAATTTTAAGGCACAGGCACTTAAATTAATTTATTAGGTACACATATATCGAAGATAAAATTAAAGTATGTATGATTATGAAAAAAATGTAGTTTTCATTTGCTTATGAGTTAAGGCAATAAAAATATAAAATAGAGGCACAACCGAATGAATGGTTTAAATGTGAGGATGATAACTATGTTAGTTTTGATTTTAAAATCGACTGTCATAATTATTTTATCAACAACTTCAGAGTGGTTCATGTTTGTTATGGTAATAGGATAAAAAAGACAAAAAAGATAAGGAATAAGCTATACAGAGTGTACTACTCTTACTTCAAATTCGTTTTTATGCAATATTTTTGTGTAAAAAAAAAATACTACAATGTATTATTATTAAGAGTACCAATAGGTAGTTGAATCAGATACAAAATATTATAATAATAATAATAATAATAAAATTTATGAACATAGGTACATGAGTTATTGACAGCTATTGCTTACAGAATACGATTATTTTAAATTATTAATGACTGTTCATTTTCCATTTTATAAAATAGTTTATTATTATATTTTATTGCATATCAGTATTTACCTATTTATTTTTTTGTTTTTATTAATTATTATTATAATTGTAATTTTGTATATGATTGTATTATTTTAGTTATTGAACTTAACGACAATGCATTGTTTAATAAATATTATGATATTTGCATAAATTGTATATATAAAATGTCTGTGCAGTGCAACATCAGTAATATACTCCACGTCAACGCCCCACAGATGTACGGAATGTACATGCTACGGTATGAAGAAATGAAAATGACCAATGGCCAAAGTGTCCAGGAGAAAATGCTGTTCCACGTGACCACCCAATCCAGAGCCATGGAGTCGTTGGACAGTGGACTCGACTGGAGACGCACCCGGCGCAACAAGTACGGGTGTGGAGTTTCATTCAGCGACGACGCCGACTACGCCAACTTTTACGCCGACAAATTCACTAGTGAAGGTAGAATAATATTGTTTATGATTAATGTTTATTTGTTGGTTTGTTTATCAATGAAATTCTACGAGTATGAATCGCTTGGCACTAATAGTAGTGTCACGTGGTAACAATTAAATTATTGTCTATCACTACTGGTATACGGTGTGTAATTGTGTATCCGTAGACCGTAGTGATAGATCGTGTACCAAACGGGGGAATGTGAGAGGATTTGGATGTTCGACAAGACAAGTAGTTATACCGAGTATGATTTAACGTATATTTTAAAATGTAAAATAAAATGTAATATTTTACTTTACCGATGACCTGGCAGCAACAATACACGGAGCAAGTGGTGAGACGAGACTAACTTCGTTCGGCTGACGAATGTCAAGCAGGCCGAACGATTATTATAAATTTTGCTTACTATACAAAATAGTTATACATATATATATAGCTTTACTCCGTGATATTACAGATTGGATAAAAGATGACACGCGCATCTATGATAATTGTATAGTATATAATACCATTCGTAATATTATAATTATAAAAATATGAAAACTGTAATGGTGTTCCACACCATTACAGTAGTATCCCTCCCTTAGCACTAATACAGGCCAAACCCACTTGAAAATCATTGATTAAATACTATTTTTGGTATCGGTCAAATAAGTACCTTACTTGTTATTATTTTTAACATAAGCATGTTTTTGGGTTGAATACACGCTTTTGGTTTCTGACCGATTTTCCGTAAGGTTTTTGTAGTCATGATGATTTACTAACAAAATAATATTTTATGATTCATAGACCGGATTTGACATGGATTTTACAACGGTAAAATCATTATTTAATATTCGGTGTAATGGTGTTCAAAAACTTAAAAGATTTCATCGATCATCTTAAATTCTTGCTTAGTACACATTTACATCTCAAGCCACAAAATTCATTATTTAGGTTTTATGTTGATCAGTCAGTGAGTCAGGACGCGTTTGATTATATTATATTATAGCCATCCAATCCAGCACTGCCTGTGAGGCACGCTTGTGACTATGCGGGCTGTATATTTACAGCTATTCACCCTTCGCAAACTCTGTGAGATGCGTAGTTAATTACGAATGTTTTATTAAACACGTTGAGTGCGACGGTGTTTATGATGTGTATGTGTAGGTCAGGGGACAACGGTCGAAAAATTACCGTTAAGAATACCATTATTACTAAATTATATGGTTTCGATCAAATAACTTAGTGAATTTGCCTAAAGTTTTTTTTCATATAAGCCCTGTAGGTACTAAAAAGTAAAAATTACAAACACTACAAAAATTATTAAAAAAATCATAAAAAAAAAATTAAAGTAATAATAATTAAAATAAAATAAAAATAATAATTAAATACAAATTGTTGTTTAAGTGTTGTTAGTTATTTTTATCTTTAATATAACCGCCTTCGCCTTGTATATAGTATATACTTGTCTATTATAATAGTTATTATATTATACTATGGCAGAACAATATTGTCCACCATTGGTACCTTATGAAGTACGAGTAATTATACTTACGTCATAATAGTTAATAATATGATCGTTTCTTTCCTTTTTCTGTTCTCACGCCTAACTGCAGAATCAAGAGTGATTATGATATGCACCGTGTTGATTAGTGAAACGTACGTGGTCCCGTGGAATGTCAAAGGAGACTCCTTGATCGTACCCCCCGGCCTTGCGGACACGACGATGGGTAATAACGGACGTGTATACGTAAAGTACAATGATAATGATTTTTATCCACTGTACTTTGTGTACTATCAACGGAGACCGGAACATATGGCCATGAGCAAATATTCCCGTGCCAACATCCGCTGGCCTAAGGATCACTATAATTACTTAGAAGAAATTGGCTACTTCGACAACGATTACGATGACAACGATACACTTGGAGACTACGATGACTACAGCAACGAACTCTATGACGATGATCTCTATGTCGACTACATAGAAGACACGGACTACAACGATGACTACGATGACGACGAAAATGATGACTACAGTAACAAACTCAGCTATGACGACGATCTCTATGCCGACTACCTAGAAGACACGGGCTACTACGATGACTACGATGACGACGATATATTTGAACAAATATACTACCACGACGAAAACGATGACTATAATAGCATCGAACTCGATGTCGACGAATTCGATGTGGACTACCTAGAAGCCACGTGCTACTACGACGACGACGACGATCTCTATGCGGACCAAATAGAAACCACGGACTACTACGATGAACACGACTACGACGTAAATGATGACTACAGCAACGAACTCTATGACGACGATCTCCATGACGACGATCTCTATAACGACGATCTCTATAACGACAATCTCTATGCGGACCACCTAGAAGCCACGGATTACTACGATGAACACGACTACGACGTAAATGATGACTACAGCAACGAACTCGATGACGACGATCTCTATGCCGACTATCTAGAAGATGCATGTTACTACGATGACTACGACTATAGCAACGAACTCTATTACGACGATATCAGTTATGCTGATTACTGTGACGACTAATTATTATAAATAATTATTTTAATGTTTATGCAAACAGACAAGAAGTGTTGTCTCACTTGCAGTCTGTATGAATATTTTGATTTTATATGTACATTAAATTATTTAATATTCATACACAATGAGTTTTTTCTGTGACTTTCGCTACCTAATTATTATTTTTATCATAGGTAATTTTATTACACCTATCTAGTATCTACTCTCACGCATTTTTGGATGAACGATTCTAATAACACTAACTGTATTGTAGGTGTTATTTTCATTTGTGATTGGCGTTTTAACTTTTGGTTGTAATCGTGTTGTTATACATTTATACACAATTATACAATCATGCAAAATGAGAATTTCTTAATTTATGTGTATGTTATGTTGCAGTATGAATACTTACATGCGAATATATACATTTTAATCTGATTTCTCCTTACAGTTCATATACTTTGTTATTAATTTTTTTTTCTGAATATAATTAGTGCAGGTAGTATTAATTAAAATAAAATAACAATTATTAAGTTTTTAAGCGAGTTATCAGACCCAAAAAATCAATTTTTATGTTTAAATTGGATCATTCTTATTTATTTCTGGAATCTGGATTATACCATTTATTGTATTTCATATGATGTATTATTTTGGACTAAATATTTTGCTAACTTACTAAAAAACAGGGGCTGACTTTGATTAGCATTTGGTTGTAGTCAGTAAGCAGTGGTAAATACAAAAAGCTTCTACTTTTATCTCCATTAAGAAGATGACATATGATAAAACTAATTCGACATATCTCTGCAACGCTAATAAGACACAAACATCTTAAATATTAAAAATAAATAATTATTGGACAGTAAATAAATAAAAATAAATACTCATTAAGCTTCAGTTGATTATCAGTACCTACTGCCAGTGGACATTAAATAATAACGACGTCAACGATGGCATAATAATTATTATTAAGTAAGTATACTAAGGCGATAATACAATTGAGTATTATAGATACTACAACGTATATCCAAAAATCCGTTTTAAAGCTAGCATTCTTGACTAGTTGTATTCTGCGAGTATCGGCATTGACTGCATCGTGCAAGACATTTTTTTTTAGAAGCACTCAACTAGGTAAGCTAAATAATATAGGTACGAAGTGTTCCACACTAAAGATACATATATTTATAAGTATCGTAAATACTTATTAACTATTGACATGTCATTTCAGTGGGAAATATTGTCAATTGTCAACATTCCAGAAGCAACTTAAACATATTTGTTTTTCCTTCAATAATTTCGTGTGTTGTCAAGCTCACCGCTTGAGAAGTTTCAATATATTTTGTATTTTTGTTCATACACAGCAATTCTGTAAGATGATGATGTACTATAGCGGTAGCAGCTTCAGGACATCCATCGGTGAGAAGAAGTTTACCTATCACACCGCGGCCTGTATTTCGGAACGTGTCTCACCGTTGATGCTCCACATGACGTATGTCACCAACCACTCGCTGCTTAGCCAATTGAACAGCGATGCTCACAATGACGTTGAACAACTCGTAAAAAATATATTTCCCAACGTGAGTACCGTGACGAGTGGTCAGTAACTGCGTTTTTTAGGTATTACAGTAAATTGGTACCACGTGGTTATTCCATACCTATTTACCTATTACTTATTAAACAGCATAGTACAATAGTCAATAACACTTTATTACTCTAATAGACTCGTACTGGACCTACATGTGTATCTAGATGACAGACCCACTCACCTTATACCCTTTGTTTCTCAGTTAAACAATGTTGCATTCGTATAAATAGAAAAAATAAAAATATCAAAACCTACCATATATTGTATACGTATATTATATACTGTTATTAAACGTAATTTATTGTTTAGTAAAAAATAATCAAATAAAAAAATTAAATAATATTTTCATAACATTTTTATGTATAAAATGTTTATTAATATTGCAGAGCAACATCAGTTAGATACGCCTAGCCTGCCCCAGTGCCCCCTATAGCTGTACGGCATGTATATATTGAATAAAGAAGAAATGAATTTGAACATTGACCAGAATGTCCAAGAAAAGTTATTGTTCCACGTGACAACCGAATCCAGAGCCATGGAGTGGTTGGGCAGCGGACTCGATTGGAAACGCACCCGGCGCAACAAGTTCGGCCGCGGAGTTTCATTCAGCGACGACACTAACTATGCCAATATTTATGCAAACAAACCGCCCAAAGAAGGTATAATAATATTGTTTATTTACCTACTAAGCTAGATTAACAGCACCGACAGTGAACACCAACGAAGAAGTCAACGATAACATAATAACACCAATAAATGTATAAACACGATGAGTAATAAAATCGGGTATTATAATTTATAGTATACAATCTCTTACAAAATATCCATTGTAAAGCTATCATTCTCGATTACTTGTATTCTACTAGCGACAGCATTAACGTGATATAATATTTTGTTAGAAGCACTCAATCAGGTTGAGGAAAGCGAATGATTACATGATATTATAATATAGGTAAGAATAGTGTAAAATATTACTCAGGTAAGTATTTACATGTTATTTCAGGGTGAAATATTGTCTAAGCCTCCAGGACACAGCTTAAATCTCGGGCGATACACCCAAACAAATTATTTTTTCTTTTCCATCAATAAATTCTGTGTTTTCCTTTTAGTGAGCTATAGCTTACCGTTGGAACGGCGTTAATATATCAACATATTATTCTGTTCGTCAGCTGCGATTCTGCACGGCGACGATGGACTTTAATAGCTTGAGAAGTAGTTGGTCGTCCACCGGAGAGTCGGAGTTTACCGAGCACGCTGAGGGCTGTTTTGAGAAGAGTGCCTCGTCGTACGTCCTCCACCACATTTACGACGCTGGCCGTCCACTGCTCAACGAATTGAAAAGCATAGCCTACACCGCAGTTGAACGATTAGTCAAAAAAACATTTCCCACCGTGAGTACTGTGAAGATTGATCTATGACCCTGTTTAGGTATATCCTGATAAATGTATATAGTGCATTGATACCGCGTATAGGTTATTGCGTATTTACTTATTAGTATTATTTACGAACACTTAAAATTGTATTATATTTGTTCTAAACAAACATAGGTAGGTATACTTATCTATAATATATTATGCCCATCCGTCTTCCACTTGTATTCTCGTTGTTTCCTCGCTGAAAACATTATCCTAAAACTGACAGTGACACTATNTACTTATCTATAATATATTATGCCCATCCGTCTTCCACTTGTATTCTCGTTGTTTCCTCGCTGAAAACATTATCCTAAAACTGACAGTGACACTACTGTCTACAACTGTAAACAAATTGTGCAGATCAATAATCAATTTCACTAACAGTTATGATTGACGTTAAGTGTTTTAAACACATGTTAAAATCCCCTACTACTATTAGTATTCAGTAGAGTATGATAAGCTAAATCGTGTGACTAATCTTTATTTATTATACTTATCTTAGTATTCATTTTTATTGTTTGTATCACGTGGACATTTGGAACGTAAATGTTTATTTAATTTTTGTGTTTCCAAATTCAGAATTTAACTGAAACCAGCTTAAATGTTATTTGAATTTGAAGTAATGAAGTACTAATAATAGTGCCTATATCGAAAGTCTATTGGGCATTAAGGGGAATATATAGCACTAATATAAGGGCAGTCCTAACTCCTAGATTATAGGTCACCTCTATACAATCGCCAGTTAGGTAATAGAATTGTTGTCTCCGCAGCTGTATGTTAGATATAGCATAGTTCAGCCATGAACTAACCTTAATCATCCCCCCCCCCCTTTTTACCAGACCCTAAAGTGCTACTTTACTTTGAAGTCAGTAGTACAACTAGGTATGCCAATCCTTCCGCTACTAAGTCACCATCAACGTAGAATGTCCATCAAACGACACTCGACAATGGACATCTCACTAAAAATTAAACAGATTAGGTAGTGAAACCATCGTTTTTTAGAATTAGTTTTCCACAGTCAATTTTGTTTGGACTGTAAATTTGCAAATTAATAAAAATTAGATTGGACTTATCATTGAATTATACTATATACAACTCGAGATACAAATACAGTAGAAAACGTAAATCCCAAACAAAAAAAAGAAAACAACATGCAGTCAAAATTATACTAAATATGGCTTAAACATTAGATGACTTTTTGACAGCTATTGTTTATACAATATTATTATTTATTTCATATTAATTTTTAAATTTTTTTAGTTTTAATTAATTTTTATTATTATTGTAATTTTTTATGATTGTACTAAATCGAGGTAGTGTTATTAAACTAAAAAAAATGTTAATAAGTTTAAAAAATATTATATATTTGTCATTTATGTATGAAATGTCGATCAATAATGCAGTGCAGCGTCAGTGAAATACACCTGGTCAACGCCCCGGAGATGTACGGCATGTATATGCTGCGTAAAGAAGAAATGGAATTGGCCATTGGCCGACGTGTCAAAGACAAGTTGCTGTTCCACGTGACCACCGAATCCAGAGCCATTGAGTCGTTGGACAGCGGACTAGACTGGAGACGCACCCACCGTAACAAGTTCGGGCGCGGAGTGTCATTCAGTGATGACGCTGACTACGCCAACTATTATGCAGACAATGCCCCCAGCGAAGGTATGATAATATCGTTTTTTATTAATTATTAATAATTAATATGATGTTTGTTTGTTTGATGATTACGTAATGCACGTCACTAAACGCATCATCATGCAATCTAAAATATCGTATTCAAAATATTCAGATGTTTGTTCAACGCACTTTCTATCCGAAACTGACTTTTGTAAAACCGTCCACAATAAGTACCTGTATTTTTTTTCCTCGAGGCCTCATTATTTTTGTTCTGAATCTAACCACATGTGAAATCTTACAATTTTATAATGTCCTTTTTTAAATTAAAAAGTCGAGTGCTGTCATGGGATACCCGGTAGAAACGTAGTTTCTTTAGCAGTCTTATAGATTACAGATTACTTTCAGTGGAACTATTCGAAATGAAAGTAAATAATATTATGTTACCAGGTTTTTTTTTATTTTATTTAATTCATTGAAATTACGAACATTGAAAAATACAGTGAATTATTATTATAGTTCATATATTCAATCACCGAAATGATAGGCCTGTGATAACTGAAATACGACACGTATGTTTGAAAGTGATTTTATAACATTTAATGTTATTTATTTTGTTATGAACGGTTTCAATTGTAATACTATAATAATTTATTATGACAATAATAATTAATAATAATAGTATCTAGTGTTTCAGCTACCTGGAACCTGACCTTTTTTCTATTGTGTGTGTTTTATCGGCGGTGGCGTGTAGATATATAATAGCAACGTAGCCGGCCGTAGAGCGAGAGGAACAGAAGTATCTAAAAAGCGGTAAAGAGTAAGAGAGATAGCGACTAACGCTTTTATTTTCGTTACGCACGGGTTTTCTGGGCTAGGGTCCCTCCGTTCACATCGCGCCATAAGAAATTACGTTTCAAAAATGTATGCCATCAACCAAAAACGTAAAAACCATTAACTATGGTTACAAAAAATAGGGTGTAAGCTTGTAAAAATTAAGATAAAATACATATTCGAATTATGTAGAACAATGAAAATTCCCAAAACACAAAACTTTTTGAAAATTGAAATTTTGTATATTGTTGTCCTTTAAAAAATTGTTTCGGTCTCATTAATAATTAATAATTTTTAATTATAATTAATAATTATTAATATTATTATTATTATTAATTTATAATTATTATAATTTATATTTATAACAGCACTATTTTCCATCTGTGGTTAGTCTGACGTACGTGTTAGTCTGGGTACCCGTTATTATACCTGTAGATACAACTGATACAAGTTGTATACATTATTTATTTATTTTATTATTGGGGTTATAAGTCCATTTTTACAGGGAGGTAAAAAAGTTCAAGTGGACATTAATGCTTTAAACGTTCGATTACCCTGTGAATATTGTGTGAAATGTTTTTTAAGTGGCAAAAATATAGGTATTTATTGTTACCTAATAACAAAACATTAAATCAAATGTTTATCAAATTCAAATATTATAACATACCTAAGTAATTTAGTAAAAGCAAACAAATTATTATATTCATACGTATATCAGAATAAAGATACATAATATTATGTATTATTAAATTTAATATATCAGTTAATTAAGTTTAAATCATCAGTTTTTTTAATACAAGTTTTACTTTTGTTTAATTTTTATATTTCTTACAACATTTTGTATAATATTGATGAATACACATTTTATGAATGAATGATAAAAAATATTCCGATTTTACTAAATTAATTCTTATAGGATAATATTCTAATATAGGTAATATAAATCATAATGGTATAAAAAATGTTTCTAGTTAGTGAATACAAATATTAATAATATTTTGTATTAGGTATATACCATTATACAATAAATATAATTTTGAGAGTACAATATAAAACAATTTCACACACAATGTATCCCTATACAACAGTAATCATTGAACGTGTATACGTAAGACCGGTACTAAGACAGTACTGTTCGCATGGACTTCTTTCATCTACCAGCTACCCGCGGTAACCATTGATTCAGGAACTCCAAATCCATATTAATATTATGTACTAATTATTATCAATCATACCTATGTGATCGTTGAATAATGTGAGCGTTTCGTGTTTTTTTCTGTTATCGCGACGGACTGCAGAAACACGAGTGATTATGATATGCTGCGTGGCAATTGGCCAAAAGCACGTGGTCCTGAGGCAGAGCGATGGGAACCCTTTGACAGTACCACCCGGCCTTGCGGATACGACAGTGAGCAACAACGGACGTGTGTTCGTCAAGTTCAACGATAATGAATTTTATCCACTGTACTTTGTGCACTACAAACGAAGACTTGAACACTTGACCAAGAGCAAATATTACCGTGCCAATAACCACCGGGTACAGTCGCAACTGTTGTGGGAGCATTTTCAGGGGGCTATGGATCTCTCTTCGGAGAACCATAGAGAATAAGATTTCCCATTGTAATATAATCCATATGTCATAAATAATTGTTTTTCATTTTTAAGCAACCGATCAAGAAGACGATTGTACAATTATTTTGATATTACATATTTACATAATAATATAATATATACTATTCAATATTCTTACATACCTATTGATATTTTTCTTCGCTCTTCAACTCATTAATTTTGCCATAATGATGTTATACCTACCTACTTCACAGATTTTCGGGAAGATGACATTTTTTTACATCTTTCACTTTCACTGTTTTGGCTGAGTTCTGTTTGGATTTGTATTTACGCTGTTCAGTATTCATTATTATACAAAAGGTACTACACTGATTTCCGCGAGAATGGTTCCTACCAATACACATACTTAACTATTATAGGTAGTGTTTATACTTGTGATTGTAATTTTATATTTTATATTACCGTATTAGTTTACCTAAATACAGTGCTTAAAATGGACCGACGTATTAGCTTTTCCGTATGGTTAAAATTAAAATTTCAGAATTGTGAATCGTAAAAACCTGGTTCGGCACAACAGGATCGTCCCTCACCAGTGCATGAGCACCTCTCTCCAATTCAACAACCCCTCACCAGTGCATGCGCACCACCAAACAGAGTAACAACCTCTCTATAATACCAAATTCTACGAGCGACAACTGGACTCCTTATGACGAGCAATAATCAGTGCGTTTTATTATTTTGATTCGAGTATTTTGAGTAATTAATTTGTGTCACCTAAAACTCCTACAGCATAACCCAGAGACAGCTACGAGTCAGGTAAGACATACTATTACATAAAATATATTATTATTGACTGCATTATATGACATTATAAGCACATACCTATACATTTATATTGTACAGAGTATTTGATCAAATTCTGGAATACACGACCTCGAGAGCCCTCCGACGATCAGGAGGAAGGTAAAAGTGTAAATTGAGACAATTTTGAATATAAGTATCGGCAGGCGTCGTACTTATATTTACGGTTCTTCTTTCATTTTTAATATTTTGTTTATTCTATTTTTGCGTTATCACAAAACTTTTGTTACAGATCTATAAATATTATTTTATAAATTAACACATTTTTTGTTTTTAAATAGATATAAGGTTTACGTCTAATGGTTAACGTATTTAAATACATTATATTGTACATTTATAAATACGCTGTTATTGTATAATTTTGTATAAATTATAAGTAAACAATTTAAGGAACCAAATATAGTTAATATACAATTTATTGTAATTGCACTGTTAAAGTCTAAAGATAAAAAAGGTCACAAAATATTTTGTTTGTTTAGGTAATTTTGTCTAGAGCTTAAGATAAGTAAATTCATATTTTAAAACCAGTCATTAAATTAGGTAGTTTTTTATTGACGATTAAAAAAAAATTATTTACTATGATAATGTTTGTGCGATAACAATGCCCTCGACATATAGGAATACAAACCTCCGACGCGATTCCGGTGAACCACGAGTCTGTTACCGTTATCTCCGTAATAAATAGTTCGCTTTCATTACCAATATTGTCGACCACAATTAGTTTTCAGTGTAGTTTTAAGTGTTGTCAGTCGGCAGTTTGTCACTGTAAATTCTCGTTATAAAGTGTAGCTGCCGGAGTGGCGATCTTTGCCCCGCCCGCAATAAAACTCAAACATCAAAACTTACCATTTCAATTAATTCAATAAGCATCATTCGTGCATGAAAAATAGAGAGACCTCCAGTCTGGATGTTTCCGAAATTGTTGATTGTGGCTAGGTAGTATCGCCTACCAGCGTGCACCAATAACGACGTCGGCGATAGCAATAATAATATAAGTAATAACAAATAACAATATAATATAATATTATTGTATTAATATGATAATGAAAACACGTATAGTCGTAGTAAAAGACTAAGAAAAGACTCCAGAATTCAGAATCCTGCAGATGTCCAATTCACATTCTATGAGCGGCACTCGGACAGATCGCCTAGCTGTGCGTCGGGTGAGCAAACGTATAATTACAAGTGATATCATTACCTTTAAATAATATCATACATACGATGTGTGAAATCCGATAGATTTGAATTTCGACTTTGCATATACGCATTGAAACGGAATTTCAGCTTAACATTTTAAATCTTCCAAATTCACCCTGGTCTTATTCGTCGCAAAATCGGAATGTGCCTAGTGCCGCAGGCGGTGGATCGGCTACAATCCGGGACCTCGTCATACTCGTCGTAAATCGGTATTTTTAAATTTTTGTAATCCATTCGAAGCATCGAAGCCGATCGGTGCATCTCGTTTGGTCCGCCGTCCGGGTACGTTTTTATTCCACGCCGAGTATACGGGTGCAGGCATAAAGGAGCTGTACACCATACAGAATAAATACCTATAGAGTACCTACGTCATATACAATCCCCGGGCATTAACAAGTTGAAAAGTTACAGTTAAGTTAATTTTAACTTTTTAACTTTACCTAATAAAATTTAATTTTCATTAACATAATTTTTCACTTAACTGATTTTTAACGAAATAAACTTAAAAAAATACCTAACGGGTTACTTATATAATCAAATCCAATTTCGTTAATTTATGAAAATTAAACAATACATATATATTATAATTATTATTGATGATACATTCTGTTGATAAGTTAATTGTAAGTTTTCATATAATTTTAACTTAACTGAGTTTAAAAAAATTATGATATCTATTAACTTTAGACTTTTTAAAATGTTTTCTATCAACAAATTATCATTAACTCTCCCAGGATTGCTTATATATATAATAATATAATATATATGGTGATACAACTACAAACATTTATTTTTTATCAGTTATTATTATTGTTATTATGTCTTGTTTTCAGTAACTTCACCGTTCTCAAACTGCAACACACGTTTCAATATTGACGTCTCATTTACAGCGGTTCTTCACTACGATGTCGATGTATTCGCATCGCGGTTACACAAGTAGAGACTCCAGATATTTGAAATTTAGCACCCAAGCTGCGGTCCAATTGCAACGGCGGCACAATAAATCGTCCAACCACTATGATGGCGCGGTCGCAGTCGCCGCCGCCGCCGCCGGTCAGCTGCTCGACGACCTGAGCCACAAAGACTCCATGCAACTCAAAAGCCTCGTCCACAAGACATTTTCCACGGTGAGTATAACGACGACCGACCAATGACCACAGTAATAATATTTCGGTACCTTGTAGTTATATTTGTATAGGTGCCTTGTAGGTGTACTTGTAATTTATTAGACATCGTATACTGTTATTATAATTCATAACAGTTGTAAGAGTCATCTTTATTCTTTAGTAAAAACCAGGTTTGATATGTATCGTAACTTCACACGAATTGGAGTTATCTTCGGACCAGCGATTTCCCTATTTTATTTTTAATTGTAATTGTAAATTTTTGTAATTTTCGAAGATTTTGAAATATTTTGCAATTTTTGTTTACTTATTACGTGATAAAATGTACAAATTGTTATTTCTTGGGTAGTTATACAATCAACATACAAGTATGATGTAAATTCTTGCATTAGGTGGAATGTCTTTTCCTAAGAGTAGAAAAACATTCTTTAGATATGGACATAGGAGTCACATTCTTTACGTATGGTCATAGGACTCATAGGAGTCGAACGAGTGTCGTGACATTATTTAGATATCGATAATAATAATTTAATGGCCAACATATGTTTAAAATGGCCATGGCCCAATATTTTCAAAATATTTTGACTCAAGCAAAAATGACCTTAGATACATGCAATTTTCACTGAATATTTGTGTGAGCATTTTCTATGCACCATAACATTTTGAAAATATTTTGATTTGTGTTGAACTTTTTATAGGCATATGAAATTTTCGATTATTATTTGTTTTTTTTAAACTAAATGTTGATTTAAAAATTTTCAATAGGTCAAAAGCTCGGATATGTAATTTAAGATTCCTCGCAAGTTGTTGTTAGTGAAAACTAAAAAAAAAGTTGACTTAAATCCACAATAATTTTTATGAGCTTTTGAATTTAGAATTTTTACAAAGTTCGTAAAATCATGAAAATTATAAAATTATTTTGAGTTAGAAATTAATAAAAATTTTACTTTTTATATCTTAGTTTGAAAAATGTAATATAAGATTTCTCATAAGTTTGTCTACCTTTATCGAAAAAAAATGTCTACCTTAAAAGTCAAATTAAATTTTTATGAGCGGTTGAAGACATTTTTACAACATTGGATATTCACTCGATTTCTCGTGTAACGGTTTTCTTATTTTGTTGTAATTCAAAAACGAATACTTGTTGACACTTGAAATTTACACCATTATATGTCTATTTTTTCAATTCATATACTTGATACAATTTTAAAAATATTTTAACTTCTTTTAAGCTGTCGGTCATTTTCAATTTTCATTTTTTTTCTTCTGTAAATGTCAATAAAATGTTATTGGTTGGGTCAAAAAGCATGAAAATGTAATACAAGACTCTTGATATATTGTTACAAAAGCAGTTAAAAAATATTTAAAATACATAGTCACGTTTTTTTTATTATTTATAATTTATTGTTTAAATGTTGACAAAATTTCTTATATTGAAAATTGAAAAATGATTTTATAGTTAAAAATGTATAACATTTTCAATTTGTATAGCTGATGATTGAAAATCTAAAACAAGGTTCTACGTAAGCATTTTTTTCCGTAACTAAAAAATCTAAAAAATGAACACAAACATAGCTTTTTTCATAGTTAGGTATTTTAAGTTGAAATTTATTAGATGAATTAACATATCTACACAAAAAATAAAGATTTTAGTAATTTTGTTGTAATTCGGTTTCAAAACAGCTCAATTTTACATAAGTATATAATATGTATAATATTTTTCCAAAATCATTGAAGTATTGAATAATTTTAATTATGAATTATATTAATTCAACTTACAGGGTACCGTATTCATAATTATTAATAACAATGTAAAATATACTAGACCGACATACCGTCTCCGCTTAGAACCGTTTTTCTTATGCAATGATATTATATCATAAAAATATAATATAATTATATATACCCGTACTATGTGGTATACTATATATCTTAAATTGAAATTATTAATTATAATCTAATAATGTACTCGAAGACACCGTCAATAGCGATGACCTTTGGATTTTCATTATGATAAAAATATAATAAGCGTACTACTAAAACAAATTCAATATTGTCAATGTCTAGTATATATACTATATGGTCTATTAAACTACAACGAGTGATACTGATAAATAGACTGAGAAAAAAATACCTCATCGAGTACACAAAAAAAATATAATAATACAAATTGTCAGATAAATGATTTAGCAAACAATATCGAATGTGATCGAACACTTTAAACAATAAGAGACAAGACATAGATTATTCCGAGATTGATTATAATCTACGAGCACGCCCTCAATTTTATTGCCATACATATTATATTTATGTACCTATGTTTTGGGGGCTGAACACAACATTTTTTTCAGACTAAATTTTTCCTGACCATTACAGTTGCCATGCCAACCAAGTAATAACAAAGGAGAAATTTTGTTATTTAACGTTATAATATAATTTATAGTTACAGTACCTAATTAGATCACATATTGCAAGATTGGTTAACCTAACCTAACCGATGCAAAATATAATTACATTACCAAGCTGACTTAGGGTTACAGTGTCGAGACCCGAAGAATAATATAATTACGTTACCATACTATTATACTAACCTCATCGACACATTTTTTTTAAGCCGGGCTTAGAGCTGAGTCATTTGTCTTGTCGTGGCATGTCCAAAAGTCCATACCTCGTTGTACATCAGATATTTGACTTGTCAAATAAGTGCCTCAATCGAATTAATTGTTTGAGCCATTGGTATTTTACTTATTTTTGAAGTTATAAGTAGGTATGTCAAATCCAATTTTTTAATTGCGAGTAAAAGGTCAATGTACTACAGTGATAACAGGGAATAAAGCAATGTTTGCTTTAGTGTAGCATTTTGAATGGCGTGTGTTACCATTTAGAACTAATAGGTAGAAGTGTAGAACTAATGATGATAATAGTTTATTGTGATCAAATAATATGATATGGGTACGTCAAATACGATTTAGATATGATATCCCTGTATTACAATTTAAATCATGCAATAAACAAAGTTTGTTTAAGGGTGAGCAGAGTCCAATACATAACATATAAAAAAAGTTAATTATTTAAATCATAAACACAATCATAATTCATAGGTATACATTTTGTGTTTATAATGAATTATTATCTAAAATAGTATAATATATTCTTATAGTTTTACAAATTAACGAAATTTGATTAGTTAATCAATAATATTATATTAACTAAATATAAATATAAAATATTTATCGTTTTATGTCACATAAAATTGCAGTGCAACGTCAATCTGATACACACGGTAAATGCCCCTCAGATGTATGGCATGTACTTGTTGCGCAAGGAGGAAATGCGGTTGGCCCACGTGGGACAAAGTGACAAGGAACTTATCCTTTATCACGTCACCACCAAGTCCAGGGCAGTGGAGTCGTTGAAAAACGGACTTGACTGGCGGCGCACTCGACGTTCCAAGTTCGGGAACGGTGTGTCGTTCAGCGACGACGCCGACTATGCCAACTATTATGCCGACAAGTTCACCAAAGAAGGTATTGTGACAGCGTTTATTATTAATTTTTGTTTGTTTGTCTACAAAATTCTCCACCTTCCACGGACTAAAAAAAAAAGCACCAAAATTCAAAGGTCCTCAAAAATAGTTGTCGATACATTCGAATGTAAAGCTGCTGTGAAAGCTGTGACTTTAAATCCAATAATAGCTCCATACCATTCCTCTTTTTGTACAAATCAGTCTGCCACCAACGTCGTTGTTTTAGCCTTTTTTTTTACTTTTCTTCCAAATAGGTCATCAATATAGTCGCACTACTCATTACCAGTATCGCATAATCTTCGGAAGACATATAGTTAGTAGTTACTAGTAGACAAGTACGAACGATACTGCTGGTATTTCGGTAAGCAAAGGTGGGCAAGTTAATGAAAATAATTAACTCGAGTTAAGTTAAGTTAAGAGGACACAAGATCAATAAGTTAAAAGTTAACAGTTAACAAATTATAAACTTAACTCGATTAGTTAAAAGTTAATATAGAAAAAAAAATTAACTTAACTCAGTTTAAAAAAAGTTAATCTATTTTTTTTTTTAAGTAAATCACATAAAGAGTGAATGTGTCTTTCTAGTTTCTAATTTATAAATTATAAATCAATTTGATTTAACTTTTATCATAATGTGCACTGTATACCCTTTTACTTTTTTATTATTTATTAAATTAAACTATAAAATAAATATATTAATATACACAAAATTATGTTATCAAGAAAAAGTACAGAAATGTTTGTGTTATTATAGTATTGGATTATATTTATTTTATACTGATATAGTAATATTTACGTATAAACAAAAAATTTCAAAATGTTTTTAACTTATTGGTTTTTTTTTAAAATCAACTGAGAATAGCTAAGTTATTTCAACTGTAAATTAAACTAGTTAAGTTCATAAGTTAATTAGAAAACAAACTAACTAGTTAAGTTAAAAAGTTTAAAAAAAATAAACTTTTTAACTGGTTAATGCCCACCTTTGTCGGTAAGTTCGTTGTAGGTTGGACGTCGGTATTGGTTCGCGAGCGGATCGCAAGTGTGTACGCGAAATTAACGAATATGACACGAACACTTCGCGAGCGGTTCGCGATAGGTTCGGCTCGCACATGCATACGCAGTTTTATAATAGTTTATGGTTCTTAAAATAACTTGTACGTGGCTTTAACCGTGTTGACAAACAGCTGGCGAGTCTGCCGAGTGGGCATTAACGAGTCAAGAAGTTAAAGTTACCTGCGTTACTTTTAACTAGTACCTAGTTAAGTAACCTAACCTAACCTTATATGCGTGCACGTAATATTGTACAGTCGAGTGAAATACATTTTATTTTATTTTTCTGTTCTCGTGGCCGGCCAACCCAGACAGTCGGGTGATCATCGTCTGTGCGGTGCTGGTGAATAAAACGCATCGGGTATCCGGTAAACGTAACGAGGGGAATTTGATCGTACCGCCAGGCAGTGTCGACACGACGGTGAGCCCCAACGGCCGCGTGTACGTCAAGTACAACGACTACGACTTCTATCCGCTGTACTTTATGCACTATCAACGGACACCAGAACACCTGAACGAAAGCAAATATTTCCATAACAACCCCCATAGTAAATGGCAGCAAAACAACCGGGTGGTGCAGCAGCAACAGCAGCAGCGAGAGTTACAAGCGCAGCGCGAGCGAGAGCGTGCACAACGTGAGCGGGAGCTGCGGGCTCAGCGAGAGCAAGAGGCGTGGAGGCAACAGGAAAAGCAGCAGGCGCAGCGTTATTTAGATCAACTACGGCAGGAGCAGGAACTGCAGGAGCGCCGTCGACGAGAGCGGGAACAGGAGCTGTCGTACTCTCGGCAAGCACAGGGACCGCGTTCTCGAGAAAGCAATAGCAATTGTCTGATTCTCTGATGATTGTAATATTTAATGTTCGACTTGTCAGTAGTTTTTACGCGACCGATTTCAACTATAATTGTCCGTAGAATTATTTGAATTTTTTTTCTACCTTCGCTAAATCGCACAATTTTTGTTTACACTTTTCATATTTTCATATTATACTCCACTCAGGTCTTCATAATTATAGTTTGTACAAAGTTTTCTCTCTTGAACGATTCTTCCTACCAATCATAAAGGTATGGCGTTGTAACGTTTGATTGGATTTTTTAAATACATTCAAATGAACGTAGGTCTCATTATACTCACACTATTATACCTGAGAATTGTGTACCTACCTGTTATACTTATTTGCGAATAAATGGATAAGATAACTGTTGTTTGGTTCCCGAACTTCTTTTGCAATTGATAAAATGTTGAAGATGTTCTGATAAAAACGGCAACCGGAAGTAAAAACGTATAATAATATTGATTTTGCAATGAAACTGTATTATATATTACGCCAAAGTGGATCTGTTGGCTAGGTATAGTTCTACGGTAAAGACTATGTTTCAATACTATAATAATTTTACAAATAATAATATTATTATATATTATTATTATTATAATATTATGTATTACTAGGTGATCCCGTGCACTTCGTTGTCCGTTAAGAATGCCATCTGTATATTTTAAGAAACTTGAATCTTGATGGTGATAAATGATAATGCGAGCATTATATTTTCAGGTAGGCAATCCACACAGGCCCCGCTAGGTGAATACTATATTACCATCTTTATGATTATATGAATAATATGTTTTATTTTATTTTTTATTTTGATTGTGGACACTTCGATGAGCGGCTACAATAAGTGCATCTCAGCCTCCTTGGTAGGCACTAGGCAATATGCGGAAATTCGATTTGTTACATGCTTAACCCTGTTCTGCCCGATTAACCATTGCAGGCAACCAATAACCAAAAACAAAAAAAAACTAGCGGCCCTATCCGCCCCTGTCTGTACTTCTGTACAGTAATCCCTCGTTATTCACGGGGGTTGCGTTCCAGTAAAATTGAGCGGATAACGAAACCGCGGACAATGAAACCACAATAATTGACGATTATTAATCTTACATCTATAGTCTGTACTCTGTAGGTACCTTATGTGTGGAATTTATCTGTAATAAGTACAAAAATACATACGTAGTTGTACTATCTATAGTTGTCTAAAATAAAAAATTAAAATTATCCACATTGTTCGAATAATGACGATAAAACGTTATCGTATTGATAACATTTTATCGTGGACTCAACCTGTGGGATTGAATAAATGATATGGCCTTAATCCGTGTGTTCCTAAATTCATCTGATCGGTCAGCCGCTGGAGGGGAGGTAATCAAGCCGATTGACTTATCAGTAATCTGTTATTTTACGGATGGACTGAAATGAAACACGAGCGTCTAGAGACAGCGCCTCTTATCAGCAATAGTGTTATCAGTATCACATATCACTACAGTTGTCTTATCACATAATCGGAAAATAATCAAAAATAAAAATTCATATTATACCTATTACATTATTAAATAATTATTTGAAAAAAATGTTCTTTATAATCAATGATATAAGTCACAAATAACATACAAGGAAACTTTAAAAAATTAAGTATTAGAAAAGATGCAAGTGTCTCATAAACTTGTTTGTTATAACTTATAAATAATATGATACCTATAGAAATATAAAAAAATAATAATGTAAAATATAAAAAAATTAAAAATATAAAAACACATTTATAAAATACACTAAAATACAATAATAATATAATTCATTTCTTCTTTTGCTCAAATCGTCCATACGAATGTTCAAAATTATGGTCAATATTTATGTATGGCGTGTCTATGCCTTTTAAATCATTTTTTATTTGATTCATAACTTTTATTGTCGGCTTGTTTAGCCTTTGTTCCTCCGGTGCTTTTGTCCTTGGTTTTTTCGTGGAATAAAACCGTATCTGTTTATCTACATTTTTGTTAGATGGCTCTCGATTTTCTAAATTTTTTACAAAATTGCTTTCTTGTTGGTAAAGAACTGTTAAACTAGAATCTACTGATGAGTTTATTTTTTGGATTTGTTTATCATCAAGTGTACCTGCTTGTGATATAAACATATTATACAATTGCTGAATTTTATTAGCAACAGATTCAGTTGATGGTATGGTAAGCTGTTGTGCAGCAGGCATTTTCATACACACTTCGTCGTTTTCTATAGGATTGCATATTACATCCATACTCACATCTTCATTATTTAGCATTGAATTCATCCGAACAGCGTGTATATGCTTACACATGTTGTTTTTAATACTGTAGTCATAACATGTGCAAGAAAACAAATGAACACAACATTTGCACACAATACAAATTACCTTACACGAGCATGGTTTATTTTGCTTAATTAAATAATCTAATTCTAATGAATTAGATGCCACCGACCAAGTATCATCTGATATTTTAATAACTTTGTAACTAGCTTGTAGAGCAGAGCGATGTCGACTGTTAATAGCATTTACAAAATGAGTTACTTTACCACCATTACATAACTTAACAAGTCGTTCAAAATTTTTATCTCTTACTACTTTTAGTAAATGCCACAATAGAGCATCAAGCCTTTGATTTTTTTTCCCTTTTAAATAGACATGCTTCAAAGTTTTATGAAAAGCTTCTAAAACCATATTGGTATTGAGCATAGCCTGACGTCGGTAACATGCAGCCCACAACTTTTTCCGGTGAACATAAGTACTTTGAAAGTATGCCTTGAAGTTGTGCATTGCAGGCTCTTCCTCTAACTTGCACAGAAAAGAACTTAATAAAGTTTCAAACTCTGTTATATCAGATTCGTCTAGTAAGACACGGAGGGTTTTATAAACGTACGCTTTTGTAGTTATTGATCCATCAATTTTTTTTAAATTTTTACGCCAATTGTTGTCAATATGCCATTTACATAAGAGATGAAATTTAGGAATAGGAGACATAATTTTTATCCATGCATTCCAGTACGCAGAAGCGTCATCACTCATGAATACATTAGGTGTAAGAGAACCAGTTACTTCTTTGATTTTTGAAAAAAAAACAGTCATGTGCACTTCATCAATCTTAGAACTAATACAAAAAGCAGCAGGGTATCCTTCACCGAATTCGTCAATCACAATAATAGTTGTTAAATTGAAATTATATTGGTTCGTGCCGTGAGTAGAGTCTATACATAATTTTTCACTACTGAACTTCTCAAGAACAGCCTTTTGTGTTTCAGTAAATATAATTATCATAAAATCATCTTTTTCTAATGGGAAATACTCAGTTCCTTGTGTTTTGTATAAAATTATAGGATTTAATGTTTTATTAGGATTCTGAGCAAATCGCTTTACCTGAAGATCCACACTTAATGCATCAACATCATGTAACTTGTACTTGTGGAGTAAACCAAATTTAGCAGAAATGTTATATATGTCCTTCCTTGTTATTATATTTTTTTTTTCGATATTATAATCAGTTTCATTGCGTAACTGATCAATTATGACATTTGGCGGGATTCCATTTTCAATTTTATCTATAAATATAATAATAAGTACATAAAAAGGTATAATTTCAAAATATAATTAAAATTTATGTTATTGAATATAATACTCACAAGATTCACATTAACTGCATTAATTGGAATAATATCCTAATACATATATAAACAATTGTATAACATAAAATAAAACAAACATTAATATCAATCACAATTTGTTACTTGTTAGTTGTTACTATGAACCAATATATAAAAACATTGACTGTTATTTAAGTATAGTATTTAATAATAAAAACAATCAATCGTTAAAATAATATACAAAAACAGAATAATTACAGAGAAAAACAATAAAGTACAATATTAATTATTATTAATATATTAGACCATGTTCAACTCCACCTGGTAAGAGTAAATCTCAAAAATAAATACAAGTATACCAGCAATTTTTTCTTGAACACCAGTTGGAATAGGAAGAAATCTTATTTCATTTTGGTGACCTATGTGAGTCTTGCAATATGTTGCTTCGACACTAATCGGTCCAGCAACAGTTCTTATAAAAGAAGGACAGCATTTATCTTGATCATTAAAAAATAAAAATTATAAAAAAATGTATTGTATAAAATTATAACATTGGCTCTTTACCAATTTTACAAGATCCAGTTATCTTTAACGCACGTTCTCCTTTTCCTTTTGATTTAAATGCTCCAGACCGATGGCAGAAATATTTGGTAGTGATAGTTTTGTCCATATTGGTTTTACATCCTCTATGTTGGACATAGCGTGTCGATGTGGCCAATTCCTCCTTTTCTTTCCAATCCTTAAACTCTACAGCAAATTTTAATAAAATATAGATATTTAATACAGTTTTGTAGTGTAAAGAATATTTTTATTTCATACTCGGAATACAAATTAGATTATTAGAATGTATGATACTTAATTGGGTTAAGAGTAAATTTTGAACTGAAGAATTAAAACAATACATTTTACAAAAAATATTTGCATATGAATTTTTCAAATCCTTACCTTGAAGAGAACTAAATTTAAACTATATGGATTTGATAACAATATGCAAAAGTTTAGGAACACGCGGAATAATAATCACTATAAGGTATAAGATGGTATAAGATCTATGGTAAATTGTGACATGTTATCAAGTCAATTGTAGTGGTAATTGATAAGTGATAAAATGATTATAAGGGTGATAAACTGATAAACAATCAAATTGTGAATTTACATCCTTTTTCTTCAAAATTGAAAAAAACAGAACAGCAGTATCTAGTCACTACTCACTTGTGATTGTATATTTATTATTTGTATACGACAATGTCGACTTATAATGACCGACGACGGAAAGAACGTGAAAATATCGGTTTGATTGGCGTTCCAGAAATCTGGGAAAAATCACCTCCACAACCTACCAACAAGTAATATATATTCATATATCATATTTTTTTAACATCATATCTAGCTTGTGCAAAACATAAGTAAATATATTATTGAAAATTGAGATTCGATTATAAAGAGCAGGTTATATGTCTGTAGCGGTATTGTCCCTTACTTGGTTCTTAACAATTGTTTACTGAGTTATCAAATGTCAGTATCAGATATAATTGTTGTGATACATTTAAATTTCAACATTTATTTACTCTTGCTGTTAGGTTTATTGACCATACAAAATGCATGCATTTTGATTTAGTATACTGTTCTGTTTGGCATGAAGATTTTTTGATTTTTATTTAAAGATTTAAAATGTTAAATAAGTACTAAGTTATTTAAATGAAAGTTTTATTCTTAGTCAGAAGTTTATTTCTTGGACATTAATTTACATTTCCTTTGATGTAGTATAAAAACAATCTTAATAAGATGTGTTGATCGTTGAATTACAGTCAATAATATAATGCTATTGATTGTATACAAATTTAATTTAATGTAAAAAATTAAAAAAATCTATGTACATTATTTGGATCAAAAATATTTGTTTTACGTTTGTTGAGTAGAAATTACTGCCAAATCAATAGTATCATGCTTAATAAAATAAAATCTTTTAGTTATAATTTTCTCTCGGTTTTGTCTCACCATAATAATGTATAGTACCAATCTATGTAAATGACCTATATTATTTGGAGATTCATAAACAATTAAAAAGGTATCACAAATTTACTAATTATTACATTAATGTAAATTTGTTTAGTATGTAAGTATTTTCTAGGATCATAACAATAAATAGTAATAGTTGTTACTTTGTACTTTGTTCTAAAACAGTTTAGATACAGATGACGAAAACACTTTGAATCAAAATAATCTTGCAATCGCTCCAATTAAATCGCATAAGAAAAGAAAGAAACAAAAAGATAAATCAAAGGTAATATTTTTAAAAGTTTTGGAATTTTCAAGGTATTTATTTGTTTAATATTTTTATCTTTTTTTTAGAAATCAAAAAAGTCCAAAAAAGCTAAAAAACACAAAGAATCACATAAGAAAAAAAAGAAGAGAAAAGTATCATCAGACAGTTCAAGTTATTCAAGTAGTGAAGGCGAAGGTGATGAATGGATTGAGAAAAAAGGTTAGTAAGCTCATTTTTTTAAAACGTTATTTTTATGAAATTAATAATTTTTAAATTATTTATTAGGTGCCAAAGAACCTACCGTAGATGACATGGTGGGACCATTACCGAAGCCTAATGTCACTTTAACACAAAAAGAGTATGGCCACGCTTTGTTACCCGGGGAAGGTGCAGCCATGGCAGCTTATGTACAAGATGGTAAACGTATTCCTCGGCGTGGTGAAATTGGTTTGACATGTGATGAAATATCATCTTACGAGTCAGTTGGGTATGTGATGAGCGGAAGTCGACATAGGCGCATGGAAGCTGTGCGTATTCGTAAAGAAAATCAAATTTATTCTGCTGATGAAAAACGTGCATTGGCTATGTTCAGTAAAGAAGAACGACAGAAGAGAGAAAATAAAATTCTTACTCAGTTTAGGGATATGGTGAAAAGCAAAACCTCGAATAAATAATTAGAAATTCAGTTTTGCATGAAGTATTAAGTAATATTATTGACTGATTACAATATAATATTATAATTTATTGTTTTTTGTATAAAAAAATTCATTAGGTATTATATTTGTATAATAAAATTCAAAGGTAAACTCTAAGAGAATGAGACAAATTTGAAATTGGAGATGTAAAAAGTATTCATTGTCATAACTTGTGATGGAACATTTTTTATTCTATGTTGTTTTATCTAAATACAAATAAAAAAATTGTTCATAATTATCATATTATATAATGTTAACACTTAAATATAGTGGCTACTCTATACCTCAATTATATTGACCGAACACATGTTTTCTCCCTGAGGAAATACTTGGTGGGAAAGTATTTAAAATAATTTTATTAAGTTTGATACACATAGATATAGTGAATGGTCAATAGTCAGCAGTCACACTGATAGAACTAATCATCATTCAAAAAAATAAAAAATTGTATCCATCACTATATAAGCTATGAATCAGAATGAAGAGACCTCCACTTATGAATGTATGATTAACTGATGATTAAAATATAATAAATCAATGTATAAAATGCTTGGTAATTGTTTGTTATCGCCACCTGTCTTCTCGATCGATCAGAAAAAATTTTGGTACTTATCATTCAAAAATATGTACGAGGTATAATTTTATCAGAAAGCCTACAATTTCCAAGTTCACAACCCTCATATGTTGTTGATCCAGACACTGCAATACACCTCAAAATACAGAGGTTGTGGGTCTAGTAAATTGGACAGTAAAAAGCGTTTTGAAACTAATTGACATTTTCTAGATTTGTATTTGGCAGAACTTATGTGGAAAACACAAATTCATGGGTGAGATGCATTTGCAAGTTTGCAACTATTTTAAAAGATTTATCCAAAATGTTGGACTCCCGTATAATTAAATACTTAAACATTCATGGAAATTTTTTTGTATTATAGTTACTTAATAGGAATCCTTTATTTATTAAAATTAAGTACTTTTGTCATTTTTATTATAACATAATATCGAGAAATTTAACTATGAGGTAGTGGGGCAACTAGCGAGTATCTGATTTCTTTGTAAGTTTATGATAAATTGATAACAATTTAATATAAAATAATTACATCAAAATATTGTAAAAATATTAATCTTGATTTTTTTTATGAATCATAAAAATATTTTATACTATACTCAAATGAATATGCATTTTTTGTTCAGGAACATTGTTTTAAATTTTAATTGAAGATTTCCAATAATGATTATAAATTGCTTGTTATTAACATAACTATTTATAATGTTATAGCATTGTTCTCAAAAATAAAAATCAATTGACAAAACATGGGAGATGTTAAAAATCTATTAGTTATATCTTTGCTAAAAATAGTTATTGATTTACAGTATTTATAATCAATGGTTATATGTATAAATCATTACACATATTCAAAGCTCTTATTTTTTTTCATTCATTTAAAGGTATGGATTCCCCTTACCTACAGATCATGCACCGTACATAGCATTTTTCACTAAAATATATTTACCATACCTGTTAGCACCATTTATTTATCTAATAATAATTAATCATCAAACATAAACAGGCTAGATGTATTATAATATACAAACAGCGGCCCTCCGTGTGGTATTTTCAAATTCATGACACTGTTATAAAGTAGCTTTATAATCATTGATAAAATTGAGATGTATTAGGTCTATTATATTGAGGCAATAGTTCATAATTTCAATTCGGTGGCAGAATGAAAGTATGATTTTTCTTAGAAAATGTGTAGGTACAGGAACAACAATAGTACGTACATCTCAGACATAAGAGGTTTATTTTATCAGTGTTATCAGTTTGATTGATGCATTTTGACTAACATATTCCTAATAACACAGTGATTGATGTGATTGATTAACTAAATCAAACTTTGCTCCCTAAGTTGTTTAACTCCATTCAAGTGTTTTCGATGATAGGCAAATGTCTTTAACCTTTGTAGGTGCTGGAGTCCTGATAAGAGACCAGTTATTGTTATAATTTGAGTTCTACCTGTGTTCTCCAGATCCCTAAGTAATACTTCAGCAATTGATGAACTCTTTCTACTGTCCCCACAAATCCATCCATATATTTTCATATTTAATGCTTACAGTTAAAGTACCTAGTGAGAAAGATATAAGTTTATATATTACAAGGGTTGCCATTGATAAGTCACAAGCCACTCATATAATGAAGTAAAAATGTTAAGACATGAGTTGCAGTTCAGTGATCCCTAATATATTATCTGAAATGAGCTAGACAGCTCTGGTACAAAATGAGTATGCACCACTGCTCATTGGTTATTAAATAAGAGAAACATTAACATTATAGATTTATTATGAAATAACATATAAATAAATATAAATATAAACTAACTGACATAATATTAATAAAAAAAAAATTATAAATTAGGTTTTATAAAAATATAATATAGGATCATAAAATACATTTTTAAGTCTATGTTCCAATTCTTAGAAAGCTAAGTATGGTAATTAATGTTATGTTGAGCTATATAATATATTAATATAAAATAAAATAGTAAAATTATTATTAGTATTCCTTAAACATCACCTACATCAGAATAAAATCCAATAAATTTTACTTAATACAATTTTGAGATAAAAATGGAAACTATTACATTATATGACATATCATAAGACTTAAATTATTACAGATGAAAAATCAATGTACATTACATAATATTATATGGTCTTATGAAGATTTTAACACTAATCCTATGATAATTTTTTATTTGAGATAATATTTATTGATATTTATCCAATATTATTTAATTTTTTTAATCGATTGAGCAAAATATTAAAAATATAATTAAATATACCTTATGTATAATGCTGAATGGTAATAGTATCATTGGCTTGTAATTATTTATAAAGATCAATGTTATTTTGTTTTGATTCTTCAGTCATTATGGAATGGTTTAAGCTTTTTGTCATGCCACTCATGTGCATAATCACAAGTGTCCTATTTTTTTTTTTAATCGAAAACGTTGACACATTAAGATTATTTGAATAGTTTGATAAACTGCTTATGATGAAAAGAATTGCGTCATAAATCGACGAATCACTTCATTTTCAAAATAGGGTACTCCAGGTATAAGATACAAAATGCTTAAATATATAATATTTGTTAATTATAGGCATGTCAAGTTTAAATGATTCCACAATGACAAAAAAAATTAGCACACAATCATATTTACTAAAATGTTCTCAGATAATTAATAACTAATGGAAATTATCACTATGTATACTTTTCTTCAATATAGATCATAGAAGGTCTATGCTATATGAAATTAACATTGAACCAAATTAATAAGTACTTCACTGCACAGTCAGTTTGATAGCTTTCACGGTATATTCAGAATTTCATAGTCTAAGAGTAGATTATTTACTCTTTCATGAACCATAGAAGCTTTGGAAATCATTTCAGGCATAGTTTTCAATGTTTCTTCTACGGATGTATCGCCAATAGTCTAAATAAAAAAATAAAAAATATTTTTTAGACCACATATTATTATTTGTATAAAATTTTAAATTGTTGCACTTTCCTAACAATGCAACTTTAGATTCTAAGTGGAAAGATAAATTAAATAATTTTATAATGATGCAAATTCTTTAACTTGGAGGGAGGTTTGTGGGAGTGAAATTGGATCTAGTTGGTACTTAAGGGAGGCCAAAATTGAAATTTTTTGGTACATTTAAAAAATTAGGAAAAAAATAGTTAGAGATAAACATAAATTTGAATGTAGATCAAGTTAGAACAAATTCCATGCATTTTGTTTCTTTTTATAGTAAGTACCTAATTTAAAAATAAATAAATATAGATCTTAAATTTTCATACATGTATTTACTAGAATTGGTATAATTTTCAAAATATTTTGTTTCTTTTAGTGCAATTTAAAGATACCTATTTAAAATTTTAAAAAACTAAATATGATCAAGTGTTAATTTTTGTGTAAAAAAAACTTTAAAGTTGAATAGAATATTTACTATATTTTACTATACACAATGACGGTGCCTACATATTAATACTCAAGTAAAAATAAGTGAATAAAAATATAAGTAATGTTTTATAAAATTAAATGTGTTGTAGGTGCTTGTACAAATGTATATATAGAAATAATATCTAAGACAGGCTGATTAGGGGTCATGACCCACCAGTACAAACTTCAGTAGTGTGTGACACAACATTTTAAGCAATACGTTATCAGCATTTTATCGTATATTATAAATGCAAAACAAGCAAATTTTTAAATCTCGAATGGTATGTTTAACTGAATTTGCTTCAAATGAAATATTGGTTCATAATATTATAAGTATTTTAAATGTGTTAATGGAAATATGATACATAAAATTTCAAAATACCAACCTGATTATACAAGACTTTTTGACAAGGTAGGAATTTCATAGCAAACAGAGCACCATTCCTTATAATCCATGTGTGGTGTCTAGCCAATGTTTTGCTATATGCTTCTTGAGCACAGTGTTTTGTGCTATCATCAGGTTGGAGGTGAACCAGTTTAGACATGAATAGAATAATGAATTCTGAAAAAACATTGATCAGTTATAGTAAAAATTAGAAGTTGGGTACTTAAGACACGTTCATAGAACGTTAATTGGATGTTTTACCAAGACCGCGATGCAATCTCAACAATGTAATAGAGCCAGAACGACCGGAGAACACCAATTGCTTGGAGATCTCATGGAGTATCATAGTCTGAACAGTGGAAAAATTTTGCTCGTCTTCGGTTACCAGCTGGTTAAGGAATCCAATCTTTTCCTCGAGATCACTGACGACGAAACCGAACAAACGACCCAGTTGGGAACAGAATCTGCAAGGGCAACAAATAAAGCATGCATACGAGTAATGTCGTTTGAACGTTTTGTCAACAATATTTTGAGTGTCATCGATGGGCCGCGATATTTACTTGCAAAGTTCTTGATAGGCCAACGCGTAGTTCTTCACGTCCACGTCATCTTCATTGACCAGAGCTTCTTGAAAAGCATTTTGCACAGCCGCCACGCTAAACATCTTTACATCAATATTAATTACTGTAGTTATGTCTTACAGACAGAAATCACCGGGAACGTGCTAACTGCTAATCCACTATCCACCGCGAAGACAGTAAATTGTTGTTCCAATAAATATTGCACTAAAATATTTATAAAATTTCAAATAACGAAGACCGACCGCGGCGTAACGAGGAATAATTATGCTTTAAAAATATTTTTATTTTGGTCAAGTATTGACGATTGTGCTCGTCTCAAACGACAAACACTACTGTACACGTCTTGTTACTTTTAAAAAGAGCCAAGACGTTCGGTTGTGCGATAACTTATCGCCGATAAGACGTGTTACGCTTAATACTCTAATTACTAATAAGTAACCGCCAATCGGTGCACCTTGCGGCACAAACGTTATCGTTGTAATTGCCGACTGTCGAGTCCGCAAAATATTTAAATCGGCGTAGGTACCGGCTCTGTTGTTTATGCGAGTCCCTACAACAATAACAAATAACAATAATAATCAAATTAAAAATCATAATATTGTTATTATAATCTTGTTGTCGGATACCGGGGCAAGTGTTACCAGATGATAAGACCCTACCGCGGGATTACGGTAGTATCGTACTCCGGTACCCGTGGTTAGCAGTTCCCACCATAGCACAGAATAGGTGAAACCTTACGTCATACCAGCTGTCTTGCATAATAAAAAATAATATGATCTGAGGATGAAACTATAACTACCTATTATGCTATATTTTCACCGTGAGTGTATAGCAGTATCATAGTTTCACCTATTTTGTGCTATTTTAGTTAGTACCCTACGTTAGAAAATTATTATGGGTTATTGCCTTCCAGGATTAGGCTTCGGACTTCAGAAATCGTCTAACTCTCAAATAACGTCTCAAACCACAATGGCAGTTTGGCGAAATTATTAATATCATCAAAGCGGAACATTGAAAACGAAATATTCCTACGGCGCTTAGTTTGAGACAATGAGACATAATAGACGCTTAGATACGTTATTTAGTATACAATATGTATACTAATTAAAAGCATTCGTAACTACACGTCTTAGTGTCTTATAAACATACCTATAACAATTCTTTTCAAACATAAGCCACGGTATAAGTACTCGCAGTTGATTATGATGGGGGGGGGAGGGTGTTTAAGTATAAATAAAACCAAGTTTTTACAATTTTCGTATGCAAATAATATAAATAGTACCTATTTAATTTAAAATTACATTTCGATACTTTTATAATCTACATTTTATCAAGCTGCAAAGATTACTTACGCAAAAATATAACATACCTACTTCTGGCACTATATTATATTATATTCGTGAAATATCGAGCTCCAACATTATAAAGTTAATTAATTATCTGTAAAGTATAAGTACGTACTTATTGGCCTCAATTGTTATATAAATTCTTCACTTCCAAGTTTCTCCGTTTAAAACTTTAAACGTCAAAACATTATAAAAATCATTCGCTGAACAATTTAGAGTTCGCCGCAAAACACTCGTCAAATGGTATAAGTACTAAATAGTTCCCATTTAAATATTAGACTTTAATTACTATCCACCTAAACGGAACAATTTCAAAAATCTGACTTTAAATAAATGCATAACTCAATGAAAATATGTTCGCGAATATACTCTGTATATAAAATATAATGTCAATATACGTACCTACGCATTTTGAGTTACTATTCTGAGTTGACTATATTATAGTAACAAGTAGCTACAAAATAATACATACCTATTACCTACCTACTGCTGTTTGAGAGAGGTTATTACATCCTTTTTCACATACATAAGCTACTTATTAAAGTTGTTTAGCTGGAGGTGTGTTGATGACTTTTTTTTAAAAAAATCTGAACTGCGAAAGTCATAAATCATCATACTTTAAAAATGATTTTGAGAAAATCTCATTTGTTGATGAATAAATCACATTTTGTGTTAAAAACTTTATAAGCTTACCTTTGTATAAAAAATTTTGATTTATGATTTTCGAGATTTTTTAAAGACAGAATTATATAACTTGCACCACCTCTGGTAAAATAGAAAGTCTACATTACCAAATTTATATCATTGAGTAGCAAAAAATATCACGCATGAATTAAAAATGAACACTTTAAAAAAAATTTAATAATCCTCCCCGAACGACTTGAAAGTTGCTTATTGAATTTAACTTGTGTCCCGAAAATCTCAACGGTATCTACATTCCACACAACAGATGACTATATGCATGTCTATATTATTTTTTAATTTACAAAATACTATAAACTGTACTGATAAATAATAATATTTAGATGTGTATAATAGGCACTAGACAGTATGTATTTTCGTATAGATACCATTCTGTATTATTATAAAGATATGTACCATAGTTGGTTTTACGAATTGAAAATTCGCCCAACTGAATATGTACAATGTACATCGGATTTACAATTGATTGCACATGCTACAGACTATACATAGATCTACACGAAGCATTTCAATCACATTTATTACTCCAAAGTGTTTGTGTGGTAAGTAAAAAAAAAATGCATTACAGTAGAGTCAATGACTCTCTGTCCACGCTCAAAATCTAAAATAAAAATACTTATTGTCATATATAGATTTTTCCAATTTTGGTAAATACGTCTCCGGCCAGCCGGGGAAAAAATACGTGACTTGCTGTTCGGTAAAGTCATACAAAAGTGAAGACCCGTCTTAATGGTTGAGTAAACCTATCAGAACTTATAGGGTGTATATAAATTATGTTTTATATGAGTTATTTTTCTAAGCGTGTAAAATTATACGACTTTCTGAAATTGGTAGGAACCTAGGTACCTCTTTAACAAAAGTCATTAAAAGTAACTCATAATTTTCATTAAGAATTTACTATTATTTATTAATATATTGTATAATAAATTGTAGCATGACGTCTACATACATAAATGTTTGTGTTGTGTTGGGTAAAATACAAACATTTGTTGTTTGAAAGAAAATTAATTTGACTTTATTAATTTATGACGTCTTTACCCACTCGAAAGCTGCAGCAGTTCACCGTGCGGTCGCACAGATGCGGAAATTTGAAAATGTTATTTTACGAGTACCGAGTAGCTTATATGATGTTCATGGTTTCCACTAAAATGATAGAAAAAATTAAGTGCTAACTCGTAGTTACCTATATTATGCTACTTTATATAGGTACTTATCCAGTTATCCCTTACTGGGATGTGTATCTAAGGTTTTCGCATCCTTTAAGACGCAAAACTCATGTAACGTTAATAGCGTATATATATATTTTTTTTTATAGTTTAAGTGGTAATGGTATTATATAGAACTCGATATAGTTTGGTATGTTCATTAAATAAATACTAAATTTTATCTTTAAACAACAAGAATAAATATTAAATCGGTCTATTGTTGGTATTTTGGTAAAGGTTATATCGTAAAAACTGATCACCGGTATTAAATTAATATTAAATTTTAGAATGAGTTATTTATATTATATAATAGACAATAGTCAATAATAGATAGTAGGTATATATATATATATATATATATATAGAAAGAGAAGAAACATGTACTTGCAAAAAGTCATTCGAAGTGACTTATGTACATATATAGGAACCTCTTACTTACATTATATTAAATACATATGTGTAGTAAAACCTCCTTATAACGGAATCACTCGGTACCAACTGATTTTTCTGTTATAGGGATACTAAAATATGCTGGATTATGGGATATAAGTGGTACGGGACTGTTATTATTTTTCGTTGCAAGGAGATTTTTGTCTTTTATAGGGGTTCGTTATAAGGAGGTATTGCTATTACTGTATATACACAGTGATTCACCAAGAATCTTCTCTAACATTTTAGATTCTGAGCAGAGCTATATGCATAGTAAACTATTGGTTTTACAATATACAATGACGATGTATATTTAAAAAAAAAAATTGGTTGATTGAAGACATTTTTTATACAACAAAAAATACTTCAACCTTCAATATTGTGATATTGATAATGGTTTATAGTATAAAATTGGATCTATAGTATGTACTTTAGGTGGGTTAAAAGTTTCCCAAATAAAGCAAAATATTGTATAGGGATTCATAGACATACACAACAAACACAAAATAATAATGATGTTTGAGATAGTCTAAATAATTATTCAAAGGTAAAAATGGTGTAGAAATAAATAACAGAACATTAGGTTTAATTTGGGTACATGCCCCACCTAATAGCATCGGCAAGTTTCAATTATTTAACTTAACAAACAAAAATTTCAAAAATGTTAATTTTTCTTTTAACAGTTCTACATGCCCGTTTCATATAAATGTATGTATTTTGGATTTTGTGGGGAAAGGTTTGTCTAGCGAATTTCAAAACTAGGATTAAAAGCATATACAACTAAATGAACGTGTATATACGCACTTCCTAAGATGGTGAAGGCAAACACTGTGGTGTGGCACCTGCTCTAAAACACTCAGTGGAATCCAAGGTGTGGTGGAAGGAAATGCAATATATTAATAAATTAGGGCGCCTATTTAATTACAGCGATTTAAGTTATTCGAAGCTTTGTTAAAGATATATTAAACAACTTAGAAATCAAGGAGGGGCTGCCCTCGAGTTCGGAACATTAGAACTTTAATGGCTCACATGCGTAACGCAATTCAATAGGTACACGTCATACCCATCTAACAAAAGTGTTTTCCATATTTTTGATTTTCTTGTATATTTGTAGCACCATGACTCAAAATCGGTTCTATCACTTCTATTTAAGACCAACAACGAGTATTTGGATTTCCTAAAACTGCACCACCACTGTGAATTTAGAGGCACAAATCTTGAAAAAATCAACATTGGTGCATAAAAAAAACGACAATGCCTAACCTCTTTTTAGTAAAATTTAACATTTTCGAAATGTTCTTATATATACTCATTGCCAATTTGCTGTGAATAAACAAATAAAACATAATGCACACTTTTATTAAGAAAGCATACTAAGTTCAGAGTCGTATATTGTGATTACAATACGAATAATATGAACGTGTGCAACGGTAATCGGTTTATTTTTATATAGGTATTTTATAAATAAATATATAACCTACTTTAAACTATATTACTAGGTACATAATTGACGGTCCACACCAACCCTAATTTGAGGGTTATTCGTGTACGAATGTGTGCAACGAGGCACGTCAATGCGGATATGCAATGCAACGGCATTGAATAACGAGATTTTTGGAATAGTTGAACTGTACTGGGAGTGGATCGTCTAGAAACGTGTGCTGTCAAACCAAGCAGCAAAACCTTACCTCCAACACTTGAGAGCCGATTCGTTAGTTAACATTTAACTCGGAGCTGCCAATACTTACTGTTCCGTTGAAGACAAGGAACATTGGTTGCTCAAATTTATAAATTCCCGACCCGCGGTGAACTAATATTATGGTCATATGGAGCTTTCTTCGCCATACCAGAATGCTTCCACTGGTGGGCTAC